GGAAGGCTATAAAAGCTGATCTTGCTGCAGCACATCTTGGCAAAAGCAACAGCAGCAGCAGCAGCAGCAGCAGCAGCAGCTGCTGCTGCTGCTGCTGCTGCTGCAGCGGTCGTCTTCGGTGGTGTCGGTGTCGTGGGGCTGCAAGGAGAGATGAGATCGGCTTTTGTCTTTTTGCTTTTGTTGTTTTGTACTTAAAGAGTCATTCTTTTTCATAGGTGCAGCAACACTTGGGTTGCTGCTGCTGCTGCTGCGGCTGCTGTTGCTGTTGCTGCAGGCGCAGCTAGGGGGGCGTGGGGGCCCCGAGGAGGTACTGAGGTTTCTGCTGCTGCGGAGAGCAGCTGAACAGCAGCACAACAGCTCGCATGGCTTTCTAGGAAGAGCAGCAGCAGCAGCAGAAGCAGCACCAACAACACCGAGGCAGCAGCAGCTGCTGCTGCGCTGCGCTGCGCTGCTGCTGGCCTGAGCTGTCGATACACCCGAAGCCGTCTCCAACCCCCCGCTTGAAATCCCACCAGAGGAGGCAGCAGCAGCAGCAGCAACGAAGACAGCGCGCCGGGCAGACGCGAGACAGCTCAAGCCGCTGCAGCCGCCACACAGGCAGCAGCAGCAACAGCAGCAGCAGCAGCAGCAGCAGCAGCAGCAGCAGCAACGATGCCGTCCAATAAGAAGCCAAGCAGCAAGACTGGGGGGAAGGCCCGCAGCAGCAAAGACACAACGTATCAAGTTAGAGACATTCGGGGGTACCGAATAGAAAACAAAGTGGTGTGTATACGCATCTGCAGCAGCAGCAGCAGCAGCAGCAGCAGCAGTAGAAACAGCAGCAGCAGCAGCAGCAGCAGCAGCAGCAGCAGCAGGGGATAAAGGCAGTGTGTGTTTGCATGCGTGTTTAGGAGAAGTTCTTTGTCTTGTGGTTAGACTATGCGGACGACGAGAGCACGTGGGAGCCCTGGGTGAGGCAGCAGCAAGTGTTGCTGCTGCTGCTGCTGCTGCTGCTGCTGCTTCTACTGTTGCTGCTGCTGTTTATACTGCTGCTGTTGCCTCTTGCTGCTTCGACGAGCTCTGTTGCTGCTGCTGATGTTATGCGGCCCCGAGGGGTACTGGGTCCACTGCAGCAGGGAGGCACTGAAAAAGCAAACTAATTTGCTGCTGTTGCTGCTGCTGCTGCTGCTGCTGCTGTTGCTGCTGCTGCTGCTGCTGCTGCTGTTGTTTATCAGAGTTCCCTGTCCGATCTTGGCGGAGATCTCCGCAAGAAGATGGACGCTCTCAGAGACAGGTGCCGTTGCTGCTCGCGTTGCTGCTGCTGCTGCTCCTGCTGCTGCTGCTGCTGCTGCTGCTGCCACCG